TTATAGATTTACTGCTATTACAAATATATATTTTAAAGTTATATCTTCAAAATGGATGTTACTGGTATAAACTGGTATACCAGTGACATTCACGTATTGACCTTATTTTCAGCAACCTCTCTTGTTAGTCCTTATAGATTCTCTTCAGTAATTTGTGTAATCATAACACTGTGAATAACAACATCTTTATTATTCATTTTCAGTATTTTAATTTTTTTATTGTGCTAATTAGAAGATTCAGCATACTGTTGAATAGGAGTAGTAATAATGAGCAAATTTGTTTCCCAAAATCCTTTCACTAGATTCTACCACCTTCTATTTTTATCCCTAGGCCAAGATGAATTGTGTCTTGGATTTTATCCCACTGACCAAAACGTAGATCTCCCAGTCCCTGCTGACCCAAACCTCCCTTACCAAGCACGTAGCACCTACTAACCTCATTCAACCAATTGCACTTAATAAAGGAGTCCATCACCCAGAGGAGTTTCATTTAGATACTCCACTATTCTCTCAGGTGCAATGTGTCTGAAATGATTCAAAACTTTTCCATATATCTGTGTTCTTTAAGGGCATCACCAACCACACAGACTCAACAATCAGAAACCTATATTCTTCTCTCAATTCCCACATCTAATTTACCATCAGTCTCGTCAATTCCACATTCTAAATATCTGCCAAAGTATTTTCTCTTCTCCATTCTCAGAACCAATGACTGCACTGAGCCCTCAGTATTTCCATCTTGACTAACTGATCTTTCCACGTTTCATCTCAATTCTTGCTTACCATTCTTCTCATTGTTGTCAAGTTTATTTTCCTAATATGCAAGTCTGATCATGCCTCACCCAGCTTTAAACCCTTCACTGCTTCCCCATTGTCTACTGTATGAAGTCTTAGTTCTTCAGCTGGTCATGCAAGGCCCTTTATTTACCCTGGCTCTCTAACATATTTTCCTACCACTCCCCACCTTGCCCTACAAAAAATGAAGTGCTTATAGTTCAGCTGTGCTATTCCCTCGTGCTATGATTTTTGCACATAGTCTCTTTGTTTGGATTGCTCTGGCAAAGTTGTTCACTTTCAAACCCAGCTCAAGTGTCACTTCTTTCAGGAACTATTGATAAAGAGCTCAACAATAAATATTGAGCACTACCTATATGCCAGGTACTTTGCTAGATGCCGGCATAGAAAATGAACAAGATGCGTTCCAAATGTTGCAGCATCAGTTAGCTACTTTCATTTTTTTGTCTCCTTTTAGGTTTAACTGCCCGGAGCAGTATTTTTACTTACATGTTTATTTTCTTTCTTTCATTCTTTTTTAAAAAAATATTTTCTTTATTTGACAGAGAGAGAGTGTAAGTAGAGGGAGCGGTAGGAAGAGGGAGAGAGAGAAGTAGATTCCCTGCTTAGCAGGGAGCCCGATGTGGGGCTCTATCCCAGGACCCTGAGATCATAACCTGAGCTGAAGGCATATGCTTAACAAACTGAGCCATTCAGGTGCCCCTCTTTCTTTCATTCTTGATAAATACACAGTTAGATGTACAAATATCGCACTATGCTTAAGAAGAGATGCACCTGCATAGGGGCGCCTGGGTGGCTCAGTGGGTTAAGCCGCTACCTTCGGCTCAGGTCATGATCTCAGGGTCCTGGGATCGAGTCCCGAGTCGGGCTCTCTGCTCAGCAGGGGGCCTGCTTCCCTCTCTCTCTCTGCCTGCCTCTCTGTCTACTTGTGATCTCTCTCTGTCAAATAAATAAATAAAATCTTAAAAAAAAAAAAAAGAAGAGATGCACCTGCATATATAGACCCAGTATTCAGTAACATTTATGGACAGTTTTAACTAGAAAGTATGATTATAAATGATGAAATCATAAGTTCTGTACTTTGTGGTTAGACTCTGGACCATGAACACAAAGAAACACAGTATGGCTAGGGTAGTAGTTAAGGGTGTGCTCACTGAAGGCAGATTGCCTGAATTTGCATCTCAGCTTTGCTACTTACAAGCTGGGTGACCCTGGATAAGTAACTGAACCTTTATGCCTCAAGTTCCTCAGCTGTAAAATGGGAACAAAAATAATCCTTGCCTCAGTGTTGTTGGGAGAATTATCGAAGTTAATACAAGAGTACTGAGAATAGTGCCCTGTACAATATAATTGTTTAATAAATGGTATTTATTGTTACTTTGGGGAAACTTTTGTCTCAGTCACTATCAGTAGGTCAAGTGACTTTTACTTCTATATTGAGCAATTAAAGAACTTTTTGTTGTTCTGAGCCAAATGTATATTCTTATCAAATTTTTACTGAACCAAGGGCACATGCTGGCAGAATAACTGGCCCAGGAAAGCTCACAGTAGTGGAATGGAGTTTTACTTCATGGAGAGCTAAATGATCTATGTGGAAACAAACAGTAGTAGCAGATAGAGTCAAATAGCTGCAAATTCAGGCGAAGGCATAGCTAGGTGAGACTGTATGGTGTGAGAATTGACAGCTGAAGATCTGGAGTCAGACTGCCTCACTTAGATTCGTGACTCCACCACTTACTAGCTTTGTTCCCTTGGGCAAGTCACTTCTTTGTACCTCAGCTGCCACATTATTATTAATGGAATTGATAATAGCAGAAAAACAGTCCCTATTAAATGTAGTTATTCTAGAAGTGTAATGGGAGAATGCGTATAAGGCGCTTAGAACATTGCTTGGTACAGAATAAAAGTGGTGAAGAAAAAAGATGCATGCGGTAGGCAGAGAAATACATAATCTGTGTGTTCACTCCAAGAAAAGCAAGAGAGGTAGATGAGCAATGGAATGAGTGATCCTAAGAAAAAAATAAGGACATTTAATTCTGCTGCACTTGGGATAACTTTTGTAAATGTTATATTTTGTTTCTATAGAAGCCTTCAATATGTCTCCAGTTATGTTGGGTTTAGACCTCCAGAACTTCCCAAAATATGTTCCATGAAGCATCTGCCCAAATATATGTGTAAGAAAAAGGCTTTGGGGTTGAATAATGCTGAAAAATGCTATATGACTGATTTCCTTAGAAATTTCAAATGTAGGGGCGCCTGGGTAGCTCTGTTGGTTAAGCCTCTAACTTTGGCTCAGGTCATGATCTCTGGGTCCTGGGATCACGTCCTGCACTGGGCTCCTTGCTCAGCGGGGAGCCTGCTTCTCCCTCTGCCCTTCTCCCCTGCTTGTGCTCCTTCTGCCTACTTGTGCTCTCTCTGTCAAATAAATACATAACATCTTAAAAAAAAGAAACTTCAAATGTATAGTAGCACTCTAAGGGGTTGAGAAATGCTGCAAAAATGTTTCATTGAGTTTAATCAAGCATTTTTTGAATTTGATCACAGAGCTTTTTCTCTATATGGTATTTATTAACATGCCATGGAATAAAAATGGAGAAATGCTGGCTTCCGATGAGTATTAAAAATGACCTTTACATCAAAACAAGGGCTGAGGGGCATGGGAGGTAGGTTTGGGAAAGAGAGGACTCATACTTTTTAAGGCTGGGATTGAAAATCTGTCTAGAGCTATTTACAAATCCAGGGGCTATACAATTCCCTCAGGGTCACAAACACTCAGATATATACAGTGTTCCTGGGAACAATGTGCACAGTCCCTGGAGGGCATTGGGTGAACACCCCTCACATTATAACCTGCTTCAGCCACTTTGCTGAGATCCCACCGTGGAAGGTCTAAAGGCCCCTGAACATACTGTACCACCTGCCTTTGGCCATGTACTGTCTGAATTTACTTCCTACTTTTTTGAAGAGAAGAGGCTATAAGAAAAACATTTAAAGTGGAGAGGCCTGATTGGGGAACTAGAGGCCAGACTCAGGGGGAAGAGGGGAAATTGGGAGAAGGGACTGGGTTGACCTCCAATTAGTTTCCGGACAAGGATGTTCCTCTGGGAGGAAGTGAGATGAGGGACACCAGTAGCTCTAACAAAGAGAACCCTTCACAGCAGAGCAGGTTAGGAGGTAATACTTAAGAGAAGTAATATTGCCTTCCAAGGGCAGTGATGAGAATGGGAGCTTCCTGAGGGGCAGAAACCCTGTTTAATTCATCTTTAAAATTCTTTTCTTGAGGAAAAAGGTGGTGGCTAGGAGGGAGAGCACAATAAATAATCCCTAATAAGAGAGAGATAAAATAGCTTGCAATTTACATTGACCAGTGTTTAGATGACTTTCCAAGTAAATGTTGTTGGCTGGTTTCTGAAGGTAGGTGTATTTTGCCCCTTCCCATGGGTTGCTACCAAGAAAAGAGACACTGGATTATATCCTAGTTGGCCTGTTGCAAGGAGACCTAGAATCTCTGACTTGGGAGGGCTGACTCAGGGAGGGGCTGATGAGCCGTCTTCATGCAGGATGGAAATTAAAAACAAGGAATACATCAACACTAACAATGCCTAACTACGAGAGGTGAAAGCAGGACTTTTTTCTTATCTCCAATAATTCATATTTTTCTGACTTTTCTATAATAAGCACCTATGACTTTTATATTTGTGGAAAATTAAATCTATTTCTCTAGTTTATATGTACATCTTTAGTTTCTAGAAAACCCGAGCAGACATTATGGGCAAACTTCATATTGGAGTGTTTTTAGTGGGGAAAAAAGTGTTCCAAACATGTATGAGGGTATGGAAATATAACGTAGGAAAACACACCCCAGAAAATTATATCTACATAATTCTACAAAGAGGGGAAGAAGTTTGCTAGGGAGAAGATTTCCCAAAAACTCTGGGGAAAAATGGTAACGCTGTTTATATCTATAGGTGGGAGGGGTGTGGCGAAAGACGGGGTTCCAGAGGGACGAACTACATGGCAGCCCGGGAAGCCGGACGTGGCAGGTAGGAAAGGTGGCCACGGTCCTCCGGGAAGGGGGGGAGGGTGGGGCGGAGCAGGAAAGGGCGGTGCGCGGGTCGGGAGGCGGAGCCGTCGGCGCGCCCAGGTGGGGATGATCCGGGGCCACACCTGCTCCAGGACCGCAGCCGGCCCTCCCACCGCCCGGCGCGGAGAGAGGGGAAAGCGGAGGGATTCCTTGGAGAAGTGGTCCGTCCTGGGGCGGCCGCTGTTGCAGAGAGATGCGGTGTCCCCCACGGAGCTCCTGAGCTGGCAGGGGCCAGAGAGCGGCCGGCATGGGCCCCGAGCTGCCTGCGCCTTGGCTGCTGCTCTTCACCTGGCTCCCAGCAGGTGAGCCTTGGGAAAAAGTGGGTCTCACCCTGGGCCCGGGGAGACTGGAAGCCATTGTTGCCAGGTCTTGCAGAACTGGTCACAGGCAGGCCAGTGGAGGCCTGGGCCGCGCTCTGGTAGCTCTTGGCACAGGCTCCAGGAGGTGCGGGTACTGGCTCGAGTTTCTGCCTGTGAGAACCTGTTGTTTTCCTCTTTTATTAGCCCAGCCCTCCCGAGACAGGTGCAACTAAGGAAGAAACCCAGAGCCTCTGGGCTTCCCTGCCGCAGTCTTTAGGCACTTCTTGGTCTTGAAAGCTGAGTTGATAAACGTGGAAGCACCACTCTTTTGATCCCTCATTACTTTGCCCTTTCATCTGAATGCTTTTAGGATTTCAATATGGTGACAAAAGTGCATTGATGTCGCTCCTGGGGGGTTATAATGTGTCCTCAGAATCATGGGATGTTCGAGATGATTCAGAACCTATTTTACAGGACTGAACCATATGTCTCTTTGCTCATTATGTTTAGTGTCATTTTTCTACTTTCTTTGTATCCACCCACTTTCCTAACTTTATCCCTTGCTCAGTTCTCTCTCCATCAGGTGCCCAACCATCCACCCTCTCCTCCCTTCTCTTAACCTTCCCACCCTGTCTGCTTTGGAAAGCATGGTTTTTGTGTCTCAGTATATCTCTTGGAAATGTGACAGGAGTGTGTATCTGCAGGAGTAAAATCAGGTAGGAAAGGACAGCTGAGTGATTGCATGTGCAGGACTTCCAGCCCTTTTCAATTAGGATGTAGGTGTGACCTTACAAACAGACTGGTGGGAGTTCCCTTGGAAATTCTGCCCTGCTGTATTTCATTTTACCATTCCCCACCCCCTCTTTAGGACTAACTGCCCTCTTACCTCTAAGTCATCAGTGGGAAGTCTGCTCAGTTTGCTCACAGACTAATGTAAGTCTTGTATTTTCTGAGGGAAAAGATGTGATATGAAGGTATGGGCAGAATTTCATTTTTACCAGCTTAGGTGTACTTAGCTTATAGGACATGAAAACCACTCGGATGTAACTAAATCTCATTAAGACAAGATTCTACAATAGCTTAAGCTTAATGCTGAGAATAAAAAGGATGGAGAATTGCAAAAGGGTGAGAAAATCGGAAAATCAGTATTCCTAAGATCTTCTGGCTCACACCAGTTTCTGCAGGATATGTGTCCTATCAGTTGTCTGAAGCTGACAAGGATAGACGCTGGACACATGATACACAAGGAAATGGACTAAACCTCACCTAAACTGGAGTGCCGAAATTCTACCAGAGCAGTTACCCGCTCAGACTGTGACAGCAAAATCCTAAACATCCCAGCTTCTTCGTCCTTTCTCCTTTGCCTTATGTGTTTAGCTCAAATTCCACAGCAGCTAGGGATTCCTGAAGTTGCTTGAGCTGCCTTTTCAAGAAAATTGAGGTCTACTCCCACCTCTATCCCTTAGCACCCCATCCCCAGATTAGGACTTTGCAGCCAGCAGTCATCAAGGTGAAAAGAATAAGAAAAGAAGCCTTACGAAAATTTTATTAGGATATAAACCCCAATCCTTAAATCATCAGCATAATGTTTTAAAAGCTTTTGATTTTTATGAAGAATATTGAACACTGAACATTTTTCAAATACAGTGATTATGACCAAAGGGTATATTCTTATAGTAAGCAGATTGCTAAATGGACAGGGACTTTTTTTTTTTTTTTTAGAAGAAGAAGATTTTTATTTATTTATTTGTCAGAGAGAGAGCACAAACAGGGGCAGCAGTGTGCAGAGGGAGAAGCAGGCTCCTTGCTGAGCAGGGAGGCAGATGTGGGACTCCATCTAAGGATCCTGGGGTCATGACCTGAGCAGAAAGCAGACACTTAACCGACTGAGCCACCAGACATCCCTGGACAGGGACTTCAGAAAGTGGAGTTCCAACTGTTCAGGAACCAGCCATGCGGTGTTAATACCAGGATACTGAAGTGGTAAAACTATGCAGACTGCCCTGTTTCCTGCCATTCTTTAACTGGAAACCTACCTGCATGACCCACTTTAGAACCAGAGAATGCCAAAGTCAAAAAAAGTCCTAAGTGAACATTTAATCTTACCTTTATATCATAGGTGCAAAATTGACAGACTCCAGCCCTTTGAGAGGAAATAACTATTTTAGCAGATATTTTCCCCGAATATGTGTAGGACATGCTAAAACAAAAACAAAAACAAACAAAAACCCCCAAAAAACAAAACCTGCATTCAGCTATTTAATGTGCATTTGGATTTTACATCCAGAATGTTTGTGACTCTGGTCAAGTTACTGAACTGCTGAAAGTCTGCAGTAAACAGGGATGATTATAGTACCTATCTCAAAGTTTTTGTGAGGGTTCAGTGAAATGAAGATTTTAAGGCATTTAAGATAGTGACTGAAACAAAGTGAGGGCTTAATGAATGTTAGTCATGGTGATAATAATACTCATGATAGAGACTCAAGGAGGATTTTTTTAGAGCTAACTTTAAAGAAACAATTGAAGTGCCCCCTCCTCCTCCTTCCACTACAGCTAAGAAACTGCAGTTAATAGTCAAGTCAGACCAACTGTCAGGTTGGACTTCAGATTCTGCCTCTTACTAGCTGTGACTCTGGAGAAATTACTTCAGTTCCCTTCATCTAGAAAACCGGTAGAATTCCTGATGAGCCCCTCACAACTCCCCCCCTCACCCCCATAAGGCCGACTTATGTTGGGTGGGTTAAGATCAAGCACAGTGTCTACAAGATGGTCATCACTCAGGAAATACTGGGTCCCACCTCCCCCACCTCTATTTTTAAACCAAACTTCCTAAAATTCTCTAAGATCAAACTGAAAATCAAGTTTCTTCTCTCACTTCTAGTATCTGCCAAAGCAATGCTTCTCAAACTTGGTTTTTTTTTATAGTTCTTACCAAGAAAGACAGTTTAAGTTGTGACATGTGCACATATATAAGATTTATAAAACAGAAACAAAACTACATGCACACACAAACCCATTACTATGCTGGATGAAAGAATAACAAACTGACAAATAAAATAAAATGTTATTTTAATAACATTTAAATTAGTAGAAAATAGTCCCCAAATTAACATTCAATAGAAAAGTCCAGTAGGTTGATTTTCCCAAAATCTGCTGCAAATTGCATTATGAACTTTGGAAAACCCGAGAGTATGTTCATTTTGGTCCATTGCCCTGTTCTCTCCTGTTTCTAAAGAAGATTGAACCCAAGCTTCTGGTTGGAGTCCAAGTTTCTGCAGTTGTAAAGTATGGGCCATTAGAGAAATTATGTCAGATTTGGGTTTTGGCTACCCGGTCAGTGTGGCCAGAGGCCCTGACGAAGCTTCTCAGGTCAGGGAGTCCTGGGAAGTTACCACAGTCCCTGTGCTCTGAGCTGTGGAGTGATCATTTGTCAGAGTTTTAGTTTGTTTTTGTACTTCTTCAAAATTTTTTTCTTTAAAAAGAAACTTCTAGCCCACAAGTGATACTTGCTCCTTAAAACAAAACATTAAGATAATTCAAAGTAAGTACCTGCAGCGTTTTGCACTATTGGCCAATGGTTCTGGTTACCTCCATCCAGCCTCAAAGTTTATTCCTGGAATAAAAATTTACTTTTCTGCCCAGATTCTAAAAGGGTGTGCCTCATTGGGACTTCTGTGAATTTCTTTTTTTTAGGATTACAGAGAGGTGTTAACTTACAGATTCACGCAGCTCTCAACTTATGTTATCATTCTTCAGGAAATCAGCCCACTGACTCCTAAGGGACACATTCTTAGAAAGCATCTTGGCTAGTAATTTTCCCTCGGTGGTGGGGGTAAAATGTGGGATCACACTGAGGACTGAATGACATCTCGGTCCGCAGTATAGTGGGTAGGAAAGTGGAGCTTCTCAGGCTGAGGGGGGTGTGGGTGGTGGATGGGAGCTGCCCACGTGGCTCCTTCCTTACCTCCATGGGGCCCCTGATGGACCTTCCCAGAGTCCTGGGCTCTGCTGAACTCAAGTACAAATCATGCCCAGTCCCTGTCTGTCTTCCTCTCTGGGCCAGTTTGGCAGATAAGGAAATCTGTGTCCAGGAAGGTCATAAGCCTTGAGTTGACACAGTGCAGTTACTTTGAGAGCTGAGACCAGAACCCTGGCATCCTTGTTTGTAGTCTATGGCTCTTCCCTCTGTTTCATACCATGGAGCAGGTTTGTTTTGTCTAATTGCATCCTGGTATGCAGAAATAGAAATAGATTGCCTCCTGGATGTCTAACTAAATGGTATTTATTAAACATCTTGCCCCAACAGAGATGCTATGGAAATGAGATGCTGGGTAATTAATGTACTGTCTGCCTGGGTTTCTTTCAGCCCTGTGCTGTATTACATTGTGTCCCTGGGGGAGAAATAAAATGGTGTGTTTTAAGAATTAGGAAGACTTAGATCGTATGTCATCTTGCTCTCATCTATTTTTTTTTTTGTACTAAGATTTTTTTATTTATTTGAGAGACAGAGATAACTACAGGGATAGCAAGATAGAGCAGTAACAGGGAGGAGAGGGAGAAGCAGGCTCCCTGTTGAGCAGGGACCCTGATGTGAGGCTTGATCCCAGGACCATGGGACCATGACCTGAGCCGAAGGCAGAGGCTCAACTGACTAAGCCACCCAGGGCCCCCTCATCTTTATTTCTATAGTTTTCAATCTTTAAATCTTAGGGTAAGGTGGGGTCAGAGGAAAGCAGTTTTGACACTTTCCTCATTTCCCAAACCCTGTTAATCACCATGTGTTGTTTCTTTTTTTTTTTTTAAGATTATTTATTTATTTGACAGAGAGAGAGAGAGAGATCACAAGTAGGCAGAGAGGCAGGCAGAGAGAGAGGGGGAAGCAGGCTCCCCGCCGAGTGGAGAGCCCAATGCGGGGCTCGATCCCAGGACCCTGAGACCATGACCTGAGCTCAAGGCAGAGACTTAACCCACTGAGCCACCCAGGTGCCCCCCATGTGCTGTTT